GCCAGTAGAATAGAGGGAGTTTATTGCTTCTCAAGGATACAGCACAGCACAGATGTAATCTGGTTCCAGGGCAGGCCTAATATGCCTCAGCCCCCCTTGAGATGGGGGAGGCTGGGCCCCTAAATTCCAGCCCCTTTCCCTAGGCTGTCTCCTCCATGCTCCCCGACAGAAACTAATTAACTCTCTTCCAGCCCTGCCCCCAGCCAGGGCTCCACTCCGCCTTCTTCCCATTGTTCTGCTCCCTGGGAGATAGCTGGTCAGACAGGTTTGGAGCCCCCTTGCATAATGACTCATCCTCTGCCCTGCTGGGCTGTGCTGCAGCCAGCAGCCAGTGGAGGTCACTCACAACCCACCGCCCAGCATAGCAACCAGCAAGGTACCCCCACTACGTCACAAGCCCAAACAGTGTATGCATTCACTGTGACCATCAGAGGCTGGCAGAGAGTCTCGACATTTGTCACATCATTTGACTTTAGGACAGCCTGGCATCTCTCCCGGGGGCAGACTATGACTGTAGTGATAGGTAGAGATATCTGTGTTTGAGTTAGTCAACACTATCTAGCTAACTAACGATCTCTTTGTTTTTCAGAAGCGCGCTGAGGAGGAGAGAGTTGAAATTCCGTCGGTAGCCAAGGGCAACAAAGAAGGAACTGAGGGGAAATCGGGCTGTGCACGTTAACTTTAAAGACAAGAACACCGCTCACCACTCGCGCATGCACAGCCCGACTGAACACTACTCTGAAAGTCTCCGATCCATGACGCTGGGATAAGACTGACACCAACAGTGGAGAACCCATGGGGACATCACTCAAAGAAGAATGACTTTGCATGTCTTGCTCACAACACTCCTGTTAATGCATCCCAGAATCATGTTTACTTTTTTTGCAAGTGTCATACTGACAACTCAGATTTAGCTTGTGATCCACTATGACCCCTAGGATCCCTTGCTGCAGTACATCTTCCTAGACAGTCACTTCCCATTATGTATGCGTGAAACTGATTGTTCTTTCCTAAGTGGAGTACATTGTGCTTACCTACTTACCTCAGAGCATTTCTCCAGAAGACTAGGGACCAGTGTCCCCTGCTCACTACACTCGCCAACCCCCCTTTTGTCTCCACAAGGCCCAGGGGGAAAGGGAGGCCTGGGCTGATGTGGCTGCAACCCCGGCTCCCCCTCCCCCGCCACCTCCAGAGATGGCTGAACTGCAGCTGCATCAGCCCGGGCCCTCTTCCCCCCTCCCCCAAATCTGCCCTCCCACTGCAGCCTAACCCTAACTTCCCCTCCCCAAAATTCTGGAACCCTAGAAAAGTAAATATGACCTATGGGGAACCCCTAGGGGGTTGGGCCCGGTTGAAACCGTGGCATGGCCAGGCTTTACTCTCTCCTCCCCGTCCACCAGGGGGTTGGGCTGGGCCGAAGCTGCAACCAGGCCAGGTCTTCTCCGCACAAGCCTCTGGAGGTTTGGGCTGGCCCGAAGCCATGGCCATGCCAGGACCTCTCCCCAGGCCAGGCCAAAGCCACAGCAAGGCCAGACCAGGCTGCCTTCCCCCTGCCTCTGGGGAGGTTGGGCTGGGCTGAAACTGGCACAGCCAGCCCTGGCTCTCTCCCGCCAGCCACCTGGGGAGGGAGGGCGGTAGGTGGCACACAGCTCATGATGCCTCAGATTTGCGCCCACCCCACTCTCAAGTACCGGAGAGGGGCTAAGCGGCTTCAGCTCCCCCTTCGGAAGCACCAGGGCTTCCCTACGCCCCGTGCGGCAGTCAAGCACTGGGGAAAGGGGAGAGAGGGAGAAGGCAGGCAGGATGCAGAGTCTTGTGGGAAAATCTTTTTTATGTATATATACACAGAGAAATATAAGTAATTTTACAGTGTGCATATAATTTTTGAAGGATATGAACATGGAAACATTTAAACTTTACATGTCGTACCGAAAACTGTTGTGTCTCATATATACTGGGATGAGACACTCCCAAAACAATACTCATGATCTTGCTCACATTTTTTCCAACATCTATCACAGTCACATGACAGGACAGGTTTGTTTGTGAGCATGCTGGGTTAGACACAAACATTCAAAAATAAAAAGGAAATTAATCAATTTACCTTTAATTCTGTATTTGAAATATTTTTATGTTTTGAAAATACCATACTAAATAGTATTTGCCAATCCCTCTCTCACTCTTTAAAAACAAACAAACAAACAAACAAACAAACAAACAAACAAACAAACAAACACCCTATCCTTGTCCCTGTCCCTCCCCCCAAGCTACTAAACTGTCTTTAAACAACTGTATCCTTACACCGGTGGTCTTAATTTCCACGGTCCTGAAGATACCTCATACAATAAAAAAAATGACAATGAAAATAGCCAAAATTGTATGAAAAACATGATTCCCTGAAAATCTGTTTAAAGGTCCTCTATATGTTTAGGTAAGTCTTTTACCATCCTGTTAAATCAGATTAATTAAAAACCCATGGGGAAAAAACAGCACAATTATCTCTGTAGGGTAGGACAACAGTTTGAGATAAGAATAACAGAATCAGAGTTCTTAATTTTTTGAAGCTGGGCAAAGACTGAAGATTTCATGCTTCTCTTTATTGAGTTGGGAGGCAAAATTACTTTTAGTTTGCGGCATTCTGTTATTTCAAAAGCAACATATCAGAAAAGGAAAGCATTTAAATTAATTTATTTAAGCTTCCTACTTGTAATTTAGAGCCCATTTATCGTACATATACGTAATTATTCTGACACTGTGTGTGTGTAAATCAAGTAACTTTGTTAGCAAATGATTAGTTACAGCGTTAACTAGTCATTTACACACAGTTATCACATCAGCATGAACGTGCTGGGCATGTAAACGTATGAATATTTTAGAAAAACTGTCCCTAATGATCACAAGTTATTGTCTGCATCACAGGTCAATTACAAATTTCCAGTATTGATATTTAAAACTATGTAGTGGGATATGTTGATTAAGTAAAAGGGTAAAAATTAAGTAACTGGATGGTTATGGCTTAATCTTCATCAGGTGATGAGCTATTTCTTTAACAGTCTGAAGGAATGCCTAACATAGTGAATGCTAGTGGGAAGGGGGTAGGTTTAGAAGATATATAAAAAAAAGATCAAGTTAAAAATCACCTAGAAAAGTTAGATGCCTGCAAGTCACCAGGGCCTGAATACATCCTAGAATACATCCTAGAATAATCAAGGAGCCGATAGAGGAGGTATCTGAGCCTCTAGCTATCATCTTTGGAAAATCATGATGATAGCCTCTAGCTATCATCTTTTGGAAAATCAACAGGAGAGATTCCAGAAGACTGGAAAAGGGCAAAATATAGTGCCCATTTATCAAAAGGGAAATAAGAACAACTCAGGAAACTACAGACCAGTTAGTTTAACTTCTATGCCAGGGAAGATAATGGAGCAAGTAATTAAGGAAATCATCGGCAAACACTTGGAAGGTGATAGGGAACAGCCAGCATGGATTTGTAAAGAACAAATCATGTCAAACCAATCTGATAGCTTTCTTTGATAGGATAACGAGTCTTATGGATGTGGTATACCTAGACTTTAGTAAGGCATTTGATACGGTCTCACATGATATTCTTATCAATAAACTAGGCAAATACAACTTAGATGGGGCTACTATAAGGTGGGTGCATAACTGGCTGGATAACCGTACTCAGAGAGTAGTTATTAATGGTTCTCAATCCTGCTGTAAAGGTATAACAAGTGGGGTTCGGGGTTCCGCAGGGGTCTGTTTTGGGACTGGCTCTGTTCAATATCTAGATCATCAATGATTTAGATACCGGCATAGACAATACGCTTATTAAGTTTGCAGATGATACCAAGCTGGGAGGGGTTGCAGCTGCTCTGGAGGATAGGGTCATAATTCAAAATGATCTGGACAAATTGGAGAAATGGTCTGAGGTAAACAGGATGAAGTTTAATAAAGACAAATGCAAAGTGCTCCACTTAGGAAAGAAAAGCAGTTTCACACATACAGAATGGGAAGCGACTGTCTAGGAAGGAGTATAGCAGAAAGGGATCTAGGGGTTATAGTGGACCACAAGCTGAATATGAGTCAGCAGTGTGATGCTGTTGCAAAAAAAGCCAACATGATTCTGGGATGCATTAACAGGAGTGTTGTGAGCAAGACATGAGAAGTCATTCTTCCGCTCTACTCTGCGCTGGTTAGGCCTCAGTTGGAGTATTGTGTCCAGTTCTGGGCACCGCATTTCAGGAAAGATGTGGAGAAATTGGAGAGGGTCTAGAGAAGAGCAACATGAATGATTAAAGGTCTAAAGAACATGACCTATGAAGGAGGGCTGAAAGAACTGGGTTTGTTTAGTTTAGAAAAGAGAAGATTGAGAGGGGGACATGATAGCCGTTTTCAGGTATCTAAAAGGGTGTCATAAGGAGGAGGGAGAAAACTTGTTCATCTTGGCCTCTGAGGATAGAACAAGAAGCAATGGGCTTAAACTGCAGCAAGGGAGGTTTAGGTTGGACATTAGGAAATAGTTCCTGTCAGGGTAGTCAAACACTGGAATAAATTGCCCAGGGAGGTTGTGGATATCTCTATCTCTGGAGATATTTAAGAGTAGGTTAGATAAATGTCTATCAGGAGTGGTCTAGACAGTATTTCGTCCTTGCATGAGGGCAGAGGACTGGACTTGATGACCTCTCGAGGTCCCTTCCCCACACACACACACAGAAAGCTAACATGCTTATCTTTGCTGTGCTTTGCTGCAGGCAAATAAGTGAAGACATTTTACAGACATTTCCAGAAATGTTAATCACCTTATTTCTAAGTTTTGAATGATGAAAAAGTCCATAAAGTGAAAAAGAATTTTGAGTGTTTGAGGTTACTAATGAAATTATAACTGATAGATCAAGCCTTCTGGTCTACTACCTTACATACTGTTTTTTTAGGAAAGGAAATCAAGAGCCTTAGAATTGTAATTACATGCAAATAAGAAAAATTGTAGAATACTGTACCTTATCAATAGTGAGCATATAGAAGTGAGTGATATCATTTTCATGTGCATGTTTGATTCTTGCCCTACATTCCTCTTCATCAATTAGTTCACCAACATATTCATTCACAAATTCTCCCTGAAGAATAGAAGGTTGTCACTAGCAAAGAACATATGGAGTCCACAAAAAGCGTCAGAAGCTATCAATGCTTCATTAGAGTGGAATGGAGAGTGCACTTTTATTTTGATGTTCACTATAGATAAATAAATTGCTTTCAGACAAAGATTTATCTGTTTTTCTTTTCAGGTGCAATGTAAAATGTCCCCCATAGTAACTATGGAATATTAATTCCTATAATCAAGAACGGAGAGTATCACAATTTCATACCTTTTTTATGTCCCTCTTAGCAACCAGACCCCACCCTTTGCCATCAGTTTTGATGATCTTTGTCTCAGGGTATTGGCGTTTGGTAAAGCACTGATTTTGGCAGCGTTCTCCAGCTGGACAAACTTGTGGATGACATTCATACATTAGCATCCGGTTTAGACACTCAGAATCAAAACCACAAGGGTTCTCATCAGAAGGTTTGCAGTTGCACTTGGGAATCTCAGAAATGTCAGCAGTATAAATCTGAACTTTACCACAAGGTTTGTTCACCTGAATAAAACATAAAAATAGTTCAAATACTATTTCAACAATTTTTTTAAAATAATTAATAGATTATATTTTCAAGTATCATAGTGTTTATCTCCTTCCTATTTCATAACCCATTCCATCCTCTTCATAATCAGCCTTGGACTTAGTCATATCTCTTGTCTATAACTATTGTCCCATTTCATTCTAGCTACTGACCTATCTCATTTCCTCTTCTTCATTCCCTTACAATTATATTGAAACATGCTCTTATACCCTCCTGACCCTTGTTTATCCAAAATCAACATCTCTCTCCTCTTAAATGCTCCAAAATTCTTTGACTGTGCTTTCTAGAAACACCCCAATGCAATCTACATTTCATTCTTCACTCCATTTAAACTGTTTTTCTTCTTAGATTAGCATCTCCAGTTTGGAGAGTTTGCAACCATTCTGTGTGATACTTTGCTAATGTCTCTGTGGAAGACTAGTTCTTTTGATACACCCAGGATACCACATAATTAATCCAAGATCATTTCTTTCTGCCTCATATTTCTTCTGCTATCACAACCTTCCCTTCTAGTACTCATAAAACGTACATCACCACTAAACCTTCTAAAATGTGTTCTGAAAATTCTCTCTTTTCATAAGATCACTGATCAGCATTTGCTCAGTTCCAATAATCAACAGTAGAGTTTTTTTTTTAAAACTGTTTATGCAATCTAACCATGATATTTTCAGTATTACTCTACACCATAACTCAAAGGATTATAGTTTTTAAAATTATCAATTGTTTTCCCATGTTTCACAGCCATGAACAGATCAAATCTAAGTTCTTCAGAGAGATGAAATTTAGTCTTCAGTTTTATTTCCCTTCTCATCAGATTGTATTCTTTCACAATGTTACTTGTCTTACTGTTCTGATGCTGACTTAAGTATCTGATTTTCATCTTCTGGAATTATGCTTCCTAAGTTGGAACAATTTTTCATTTGATGTACAGCAGCATCATTTACTGGAAATTGTGCATGTTTTCCCAAGATTCTCGTATACCACCACAGTTTGTGTCAGACTCTAGACCATATTCATGTATAATCTCCATTAAGTTCTCCAGAATCATCTAAAAGCAGTGTCATCTATACAGCAAATGCTATTCACCCATTTCTATTCATCTTAATATCTTCTGTTTCTTTAATTTAATTTGATCAAACATTCAGTGAAATGAAAGTTTCAGAGTGGTAGCCGAGTTAGTCTGTACTGGAAAAACCAAAAAACCCCAAAAAACCAAAAAACCACCCCCACCCACACCCACCCACCCCTAGTCTAGCAGCACCGTAAAGACTAACAAAACATGTAGATGGTATCATGAGCTTTTGTGGGTGCCACTCACTTCTTCAAATGGAGCAATAAAAGATTCTTTTGGAGCTGGACTTTTAATACTACATTCAGCTGAAGAATTGGGTGGTAGCCAAGAAAGCTCATGATACCATCTACACGTTTTGTCAGTCGTTAAGGTGTCGCTAGACTATTCATTAGAATGAGTTACGCAGGGAGGTGGTGGAATCTCCATCCCTAAAAGTTTTTTTACTGCTGGCTCGATAAAGCACTGGCTGGGATGATTTAGTTGGAAATGGTCCTGCTTTTAGTAGGGGGGTGGCCTTAACCTCCTGAGGTAGCTTCCAACCCTATGATTCTATGAATAAATGTTGAATAAAGTCAGTGACATTATATAATCTTTTCTCCTCTTGATCTTTCAAATATTTATCTATCTCCTATTATAATCACCTTCAGAGCATCCACACTGCAGCCTTACCCGCAAATAAGCTATACCATTTGCTCTATGCAAACTACATAGCTTATTTCAAGGTAATTTCGAAATAAAGTGCTATTCTGACAAGTCCCTTAGCCCTCATAGAATGAGGGTTACAGGGAAGCTGGAATAGCATACCTGTTATTTTGAATTATATTTTGAAATAATGGGCACGGTTAAAGATGTGCAATAGTTATGTTGGGATAATTCCGGGATCCTGAAATAACGCCAGTGTCTAGACGTAGCCCTTCTGATGAGTAAGAAAACAATTATGCTGGAGCTGTCCATATCCGTCAATCCCTACAGATCTTAATATATTGATCAGTTTGTAAGTTGTTGATTCTGTCAGATTTTTTTAGAAGTCAATAACACACAATATATTAGTTTCCCCACCAACTGATTTTATTTAACATGAGTTCATTATGGCATTTACTGTATTCTTTCCATATTTGACATTATTATTGTTCACTTATTTCCTTACCAATCTTTCCTTGTATTTGGTCTTTAACAACTCACAAAAGCATTATAGAGGCATGTGATGCTAGACTGATCGTTCTGTAATCTTTACAAATCCCCCAAAAGGCCAACCCTGTGGATTGGACACAGTGAGGTTGTAAAGTCCTCTGGCAATTCTCCTATCAAACATTTTTTTAATTCCTCCTTGACAAAGCTTTCAAGCCTTTATTCCCTATGTTGAAAACAATTCAGTCTGCATTCTAGATAAACCAGAACTTTCCCATTCAGAAGTCTTTTAATTTCTGCCATGATTTCATCATCTATTGTTGGTGAGCTTATGTGATTCATATCAACTTGAGATTTTCAAGCTTATCATCACTGTAAAGTTCCCAGGCATATTTTGTCAACTCTTGTTCTTGTGTTTCCTATCTGTCGTTCTTATCCTTATGGGTCAAATTGGTCACCTTTCTTCTTTAACTGAAGGCTATCGTCTCGGGATATAAAACTCACTTTGTTAGCTACCTTTACTGTTTTAATAAGGTCATAAGCTTGATCACAAGGAATGAGATAAAGTATCTCTTTACTCCGTACATTTAATTAATCCATCTGTTGTCCCTCAGAGATTATCATTTTCTCCCCAGGTTTTTGTGACTACATACATTTCTGCTTTTCCTCCCTATCTTTCCATCCAATATTTCAGGTCTTCTCTTCAATGGCTAGTTAGCAAACCAAATGCTATTTTCAGATGCCTACTTTAAAAATTCCAAAGCCTTCCAATTCTTTGTTCCTGAGTGAGCACAACTGCTCCCCCAGTTTCATCTATCATTTAAATGCTGAATCCCCCAAATCTGCATCTTTTCCTGTGACTTCTTCCTGTGTTTCATCTTTTTTCTAGATGTTCTCCTACAATTTTAAATTTAGGATGATGAAAAAAAGACTTATCCCTCCTCCTAAGCCCTCTTCTCATCCCTCCTCTCAATTGCAGGCACTGTCATTATACTCTCGGCTACTCAAGGTTGCAACTTCAGTCATCTCTCCACCCTCTTGTTATTTTTAAAAACTGCATCTTTCTCCTCTCCAAAATGTTGAGAAGTCATTTCTTTTAAATTTATCACCCAGATCCTTCTCCAAGTTTTGAGGTTCACCTCTTTCCTTAATTGCAACCACCTCCTTTCTGGTCTCCCCATCTCATGCTGCCAATCCGATTTAAACAAAACACTGCTTCTCACACCAACATTTTAATATTATTCCCCCAAAGATAATTTATTTCATTCTCCAACGGTATCTTTGCCACTGGTCCAAAGATTGGACCTTCATTGAATTTATCATGAAATGTATTCAACTTAGAAAAGATTCCGTGGAGAAAATCAAATATTAGGAGAAAGACTTTTTAAAGAAGTTGTATTGTTCAATATTCATGTATTTCCAAATAAGTTCTGCAACTTGTCCACCTTTTTCTCTTCTGCATCCGATTTACTCAACCATTACCTTTATGTGTTTGTATGGTGGAGGTTTACGTTCATTCTCTTGGGTTTCTTTGGCTTCTCGCTGAAGTTTTATTTCTCGAAATCGAGCTTCCGCTTCTTGCAAGGCTAAAAAACAGTTGCATCATTAGAAATTGTAGTCAGATGATTATTCCCAGTAACCCACCATGCTGCCCCCATTATTTATTTAGTTAATCCCACAGTATCATCTACACTTTTAGATGCTTTAATTTTCTTTTACAGAAACATCTAAAAATCAGAGCATAAGCCCCTCTCTATGGGAATGCTTTGTAGCAGAAAAACTCTTCTGCTTCCTAAAATGGGAGCATGGAAACGCTTTAGTAAGGACAGTGTTCCTTTCATGCAGCCACAATGTACAATCGAATTTAAAAGAAAGATCTATTCTGGAAGAGGCTCTGTAATCCTCTATTCCAAGCAGAAGAAATAGTATGATTTTAAATCCAAACTGAAATATAGGTTAGAGGTAAAACACCTGAGAGTCTCAAGATCCAGTCTTGATCAACTTTGTGCAGTTAGATATGGGAATTTTACATGAATAATCAGTGCATAATATCTGCAAAAAGGATTTTTATTGTAGTGTTTGTAAAATTCTGGTTTAGCTCTGAGACACTGGAATACCAGGGGCTAGCTCATGCCAAGGCACCAGATCTCAATCAACACTGACAAATGCATAGCTGGAAATCAGTGTGGTTAATATGATTAAAATAAAAATCAGAGTGTTTAGTGCATAGACTTTATGCTCGTAGGATGCTGCATATATTAGTTTCACGTATTTGTACCCCATGTTATAGAACAATATTACAAACTTGCATGATTAACCTCTATAATTGTGCAACTCAAACAGGAAAGAAGCATTAGTTAGAGTAAAGTTCTAGGGCTGCAGACAAAAAGGTCCACTGAAATTAAATGAGCTATTATGCGGCATAAAAGGACTCTCTCAATTAACCTCCCCACTCACATGAATTACAGGCTGAGACAGGAACTCTGGGGACCAAAGATAAAAATGCCCCAACCAGAAGAAACTTGTAGTGCTGCTTGAACTTTGATGGCCAAGAATTTCTAAGCACAAATGTGGAGTCTCCAGCTATTTAGCTTGGGTTAGCCCTGAAGGACATATAATATATATGCTTTATATCAGCTGGTATAATCTTTTGGAATCTGAGACTATTTCATTTGTGTGTGTGCATATCATCCCCTGTTTTAACCTTGTAAATAAACTCTCCTATTTTTTCCCCTATTTAATAAATCTGTAGTTAATTACAGGCTTGGCTACAGCATTTTCTTTTGAGTCCTAAAAGTACCGTTCACTCGGACTAAGTGACTAGGCCTTTGGAACTACAAGTAACATGAATACTGATGTGATTTTTGATATAAGCAAACATCTATCACAGGGGGTAGCCGAGTTAGTCTGTACAGGATAAACCTGAACAACAAATGGTCTGATAGCACTTGATGTGACTGGTTCTGGAGGAAGCATCACAAGTCGGAGGCGTCGTGACTCAAACCTGCATTTACAGTAGGCACTGTGCGCGGTCGTAAATGCGGGCTGAGGACGTAAGTCAGGGGTTTCTGGTCCCTTCCGCACTTACAAAAATGGTTGGGTGATCACATCTTGGGGGGGGGGGGGGGGGGGCGTTGGTAATAAAACTGTAATAATACTAATTCAAGTGTTCTGAATAATTCTACTGTTGTACATTGTGACTTCAGATAGTACATGAGCTGTCACAGGCTTAGTGTCCTCTCGAAAGAAATAAAGCATGTAAACAATAAGATTTATTTTTTATACCAGTTTTGAAGACTTTTCCAATTCCTTTAATTCCTTGGTATCTACTTCCTCTGTCTCCTTCCATATATGGAAACACACGAGCTTGATGTGTCCAGTAATAATCTTTAGAACCAAAGAAAAACACCGGAAATTCTCCAATTTCATGCTTCATTTTCTGGATATTTGGAGGAACATTTTTTGGATGGCAAACTTCTGCAGGCCACCATCTATTACAGAAGTACAAAGAAACAAAGGACAGCATTTTAATCAAGCCTTCCTCCAATAAACAATTTAGCAACATAGTAGCTTAACACTAATCAATTATTAATCTACTGTAAGCAGGATGTCACTCAGAACAAGATCTAAGAGAGCAAGTCACTAGAAAATAAACAGTAGAGCAAATTTAAACGTAATAAAACAGGCTCTGATCTCTGTAAAATAGCAATTTAAATACAGCATCCAATCTATTTCCGAATTCCAATTAATGGTCTAGGTATCAATGGACAGAACCTTACTGATTTTGATGAAAGTCAAAAACCAGCAAGGAGAAATTGGGGCACACAAAGCAGCTCATATATCAATACCAAACCATCAGCCTTAATCAGGTCTTTATTTATCTATAGATCAAAGAACTGGCTGATAGTTTAATTAATACCTTCCAGCAGAACACGCTGCCCTTCAAACTCAACTCTGCTCATTGTTCCAATGAAGTTTAAAACGCTGACACCCTTCAAGACCTCTCTCCCAAACTGAAAACATATAATCTAGCCATCCCCAGATTATATTGTTTTAACAATACATATTTACATGTGTCTCAAATAGAAGGGGACATGAAAGCGGTACACAAGGAATTTGGGAGGGCAGAGAGGCTGCATACCTGTAACTGGAAACTCTTTGAGAAGTGTGGTCACTGTATGTATTCCACTGACAGTTACACACATGCACCATGAGTTCAGAATCAGATCTTTGATAGAGTCCGGTGGCCAATGCATGCTCTCGATCTGCCTTGCAGTTTTCAGAGGCAATTAAGGGCGGATTTGACTAACCGCACTCTTACCTCCTCCTCCACTGCAAATGAAACAGATCCGCAGCAAAAAGGAAGAAGGAAAATATTGTAATTCAGATAGAGACCACGCATCTTGAAGAACCTCCAGTGACAAGTAAGACACCTCCTCTTCTCCATGTGATGGTCCCTATAGTAGTCCACTGAGGGTGATGGACAAGCAGTGCCTAATTAGGAAAAAGGCATGAGGAAGATAACAGAATCATTGAATGAATAACAGCCATGCTGAATGAGGAAACCATCAGAAAGTCTTGCACTAACGCATAATAGGAAGAAAAGGTGTGTACCAAACGCCATGTGGCCTCCCTACATATGACAGCGAATGGCATGTCGTGAAGGATGGCAGTTATTGATGCTTGGACTTTTGTGGCGTGGGTTTGTAATTTAATAGGTAGAGAGAGTCCTGAAAATCAATATAGCATGATGCATCCCAAAATGCACTTAGAAATCCTCTGTTGGAGCTGGCCCGTCCCTTGATCTTTTGTGCTAAAGCAACAAAGAGTTACAGCTTCATCCTCAATCTTTAAAAAGCTAGGGATCTACAGACATTGAAGAGATAAAGGCACCATTCCTCCATTGAGGTGTGCAGTTTGAAAAGCAAGTAAGTGTGGGGGGTTTGAGGTTCAAGTGAGAAACAACTTCTGAAAGAAACTTGGGATGCAAGCACAGGGGAAAAAAACTTTTGCAGCAGCTATTCTTTGAGATATGTTGCTCATGTGCATAGCTATGTGCATGCCTACAGGCATAAATGTTGGGACATTTTTGCCTTAACAATATTTATGGGGACGACCATGGTGTCCCCTTGAGTGCTGAACCCATAAGATGGAATATTGGCGTTGTCATCCCTATATCCTCACAGTTCCTTCTTGACAGCAAGTCCAACAGAGGGGTACGAGGATAACTAATAGAATGGACACGAGCAACACATCTTGAAGAACTGTTACAAAAGGTAGATAATTGTTTTCTTTTGAGTGTTTGCTCATTTTGATTCCATTCTAGGTGACTCACAAGCAGTTCAATGAAGGTGGGCTCACAGTTGATAGTATTGTGGTTTGCAGTACTGTTTTACTAAACTCAGCATTGTCCTGGGTCTTCTGGTTAAGTGTCAAATGGAACATGGATGTATGGATGGACAGTCAGTTTGCCTCCGCACAGATGTCTTGGATAGGCACTCAAGCTACCAAATAGACGTGGTGTCTTGGTTGAGTGGGCAATGACCATTGCCAGAGGTGGCACTTGGGCCCAATCATTGCAACAGTGAATACAGCAGTGATCCAAGAAGAAATCCTTTGAGCAGACACTGGATGACCTTACATCCCACTGGCCACGAACAACTGTGTCAACTTATAGAATAGTCTGGTCCTTTCAATGTAGAAGGCTAGTGCCCTCCTAATGTCCAAGGTATGCAACCTACAATCCTCCTCAAACTTATGCAGCTTTGGGAAAAATAAGAGAGTTAAGTAAATAGGTTTCAAGGGCAATTTCATCAGGGCAAGGCTGAGGTTTCATTGGGGGGCCATGGGGAGAACAGGAAGATATGTTTGTATAAGGTCCTTCCAGAAACTTGCAGTCAATGAGTAAAAACAGAGTGCCCCTCCACAGGGAGGTGGGACAGCACTAAAAGCCACTATGTGTACCCTAATGGAGTTGAGTGAGAGTGTCCCAATGCCTTCAGAGACAGGAGATTGTCCGAAAGGAGGAGAATGCCCATAGCCTCAGGAGCAAGGCCCTTCTGTTGTGATCAGGAAGCAAAATGTTTCTACTTGGCTTGGTAGGACTACCCTGTGGATCCTTTCCTACTATTTGACAGGAAACCTTGTGCTGCCAATAAAAATTCATCCCAGCAACAATGCCCAGCCAAAAACCAGTCTTTCATGTGACACATTCGTAGATTGGGATGTCTTTGAATCTGCACTTGCACTGTATAAGCATTTCAGGGATCATCAGTAGTGAAGGAAGAAGTGCAGAGATTAGGGCTGAGATACCAGGGATAGTGGATTGGGGTGCAGGGTTGGGGAGGGGGTTGTAACCTGGGGCAGGAGTGCAGGAGGGTTCCAGGGATTTGGGCTGTGACCAGGGATAGAGGTTTGGGGTATAGGGTCTGGGAGAGAGTTGTGATCTAAGGAAGGGATGCAGTGTCTGGAAAGATGTATGGGGGCTGCAGCAGGAGTGCAGAAGAGTTGCATTAGATGGGGTAGGGGAAGTAGAGGGTTGAGGGAGGGAGGGGCTGGGGTGCCCAAGGCAGGCTCTGGCTGGGAGAAATTACCTGGGCATTTCCCAGCCAGCAACATCCGTGACCAAGGTCCCTGCCTTCCACGACCCGTATGTGTTCATATGCTCACAGCAGTTACAGGATCCAAGTTTGCTGCTGTGAGCCTGAGCGGAAGGGATTTCACATGCTGCCTGTCCTGCAAAAAGGCAGTTGCTATTAGTTGGAAACTAGCCAATGGGAGCTACTGGGGGTGGGAACTGTGTGAGAAGCCTCTTTCCCCTCCTCCGGGCTCTCAGCAAGAAAGAACATGGCTCTGCAGCCAGCTTTCCTGAATGCCAATGGGCAGGGAGCTGGCTGATGTAGGCTGAATCCAGTCCGCAGATCGTATTTTGCCCAGCCCTACTCTAGTCTTTAAAGGAGTGCAGGGAATCAGTAGTCTTATGATTAAAGAGGTGAGATTGATCAAAAGGGATGAAATTCATTCTTCAACTGTTTTCTGTCTCTTCCTTGCGAAACCAGGTTAATTCATCCAGGATTCCCTCCTCAAGACAATTCCCATGGTCATAGTGTGCAAGGCTGTGTCCACTGAATCTACCACAGACTGGAGCATCATTTTGGTAACCAGTTTACCTTCTTCAAAAATAACCCAGAAGTGGGCATAATACTGCCAGGGAATCTTGTTCACAAGGTCTGCTAACTGTCTAATTCAAAAAAAGTCATATTTTCCCAGCAATGCCGAATAACTAAAGATGCAAAACTGAAGACTGGCTGAAGAAAAGACCTTATGACATAGGAAGTCAAATCTCCTATCTTCCTTGTCTGTGCAACAATCTGAATAAACAAGGAATTGGGTGAGTGGTGAGAAAACAAACTAAGCACTCTTCACAGGAACATAATGTCTTTTTTTCCCCGCCCCTTCAGGACTGGTGTGCAAGTGGCTGGCGTATCCAGGCCTGCTGAAGAATGGCATCACTGATTGGTAGCACTGACCTAGCTGGTAATGATGAACAAAGAATGTCAAAATAATTGATGTTGGCTGTCCTGCACATCTCCTAGTGGAACGTGAAGGGTGTCGGCCGCCCTCTAACAATAGCTGGAACTGGCAATAGTTATCTGAGACATGGAGGAAGAAACTGACATTGCTACATCTGGAGATGACAAGAAGAAATGCTCTGATTTGGAGGCACCAAAGTTAGGCTTACTGATGCCTCCTCACAACCATTGTTCCGAACATCTAGTAGAAAAAGAATGCAGTGGAGAGATGTGGCGGCTCCTCTCAAGTGGATCCAGGAAGTTTCTGAAAGGGAATGCAGGGGCAAAAAGCCCCAATACAGCAAACCAGACAGACTGATAAGCTGCTGCAATGGACCCCCACAAAGCCAGGTACCAGGAGCTCCTGTGCTGAAGACAGGGAAGATATTGCCACCGAGTGTGAAACCTTTGGGTATTTTGCTAGTGGTACAGAAGAGACAAACCTTGTGTTCCATCTGAATCCTCCAACACCAAAAAAATCATGCTTGTTCAAACTATGATGCTATTGGAACCAAATGAGCCACAGAACAGCATTCAGGAACATGCCCCAAAGGCAGCAAGTCCAATTCAAAGGAGCAGGATCTTCTAAGGCAAATACATCAGGAGATGTGGAGATCTCTTCTCATCCAGGGCAAACAGTTAGGCTACATCTACACTGGCCCCTTCTTCGGAAGAGGCATGCTAATTTCTAACTTTGGAATAGGGAAATCCGCGGGGGATTTAAATATCCCCCCGCGGGATTTAAATAAACATGGCCGCCGCTTTTTTCCCGGCTTGGGGAAAAGCCAGGAAAGAGCGTCCAGACTGGCGCGAGCCTCCGGAATAAAGCCCTTTTCCGGAGGATCTCTTATTCCTACTTTCAAGAGATCCTCCAGAAAAGGGCTTTATTCCGGAGGATCGTGCCAGTCTGGACACTCTTT